CCCCCCCCTCCATTCCATTCCTTGTTTACGTCGAGCAATGTGTTGACGGCGGCGCGTTAATCATACGCCCAGTGAGCGCCTAACTGTAAGGAAGGGTCAGGCAGTCATCACTTAAGGTCAACTAATTTGCGACCGCTTAACAGGAAAGAACAGCTTTCAGCTGGCGAAGCCCCGTGGATATGGGGGGTAGGGTAAGTCCGTGGACTTTGAGAGCGGCACCGCGCCCCGCCCCGGGTACCCCGCGGGTACCCGAGAGGGATAACGACGTCGTTCCGCCGGGGCAATACCAGCAACGCTCATTAACATACAAAGAAAGGACTATGTCCATGAACTTTATCGGTGATGTCTTTACTTTGCTGCCGGAAAAATGCACTTTATGCACCCAAATGCACATTCATGAACCTTAACTTGGAAAGTTTCAGTTTTAAAATGGGGACTGTCTAAAAACCAATAAAAACCGAGCAGACAGTTTGTCGTCTTACCGTAGTTGGACAAACTGGTATTGAATTGACATCTAAGATATAGCGCAGTATTTTGCTCAAACGAGCCGTTCTGATGTTGTAACCAGACCAAAATCGTCTGACTGTTTTCGCCATCTGGCGTCCAGTTGGACCCTTCGATAACAGCGCCGGGCCGCCGGAGCCGGAGAGCGCCACATTTGAAACGAGCGCTCCTCGCTGGCCAATCACGAGTGCGCGCTGCGGCCCGTCGACCAATCAAAGAGGTGCCGAGTGGTGTGACGGTGGTGCTCGGTACTTCCAGCGCCGCGCCCATTGGTCCAAACTATTTTCGGCCCGCAGCGTTAAAAAATGCCATTTAAGTGTCAAGAACTGATCAACAAATGAAGGAATCCAAAATTTTGAGAGATTATAATGAAATTCCGATAACTCAGCGAAAAAGTTCGTAGTTTGCGTAATTGTGGGCCACCGGGCAGCTCGACGCGCGTCACAGTGGGGGGCTGGGGCCCGACGGGTCGGCTCTGTACAGTAGGCCTCCCTCCCGAGCGCCACTCAACCCACACGCTAGCCAATATAAGTCCCCGACTCCCTGGTTGGCGTTTGAGTGCAGCTCAGCTGTTGTGTGGTGTAGTACCTTGCGTGAAGGTGTTCGCCGTCCATTCGGAATTTGGAGCTCGTGGCATGCTCGCGAAAGATCTCTCCACCGCGCTCAGTGAACGTTCAGTGCCTATCATGGAAAGCAATAGGTGAGTTCGCGAGACCGGTGCGAGCGCCCAGTGCAAAGTGAAATTGTGGTTAGGTTGTGAATCATCAAGAACTGTCAGTGAATGTGCCCACACCCACCAAGGAAGACAAGCCGAGGATATGTTTAGTGCCTTCCCTTGAATTTTCTTACGACCGAGTGTCTTCAATGCGTGCCTCGCTATAGCGGAACCTTTCATGAGTGTTAAACAGTTAAAGACTTCAATCGATGGGTCTTCTTAACCCTGAAAAGTGAAAATCAGAGCCGGTTCTACCTGCCATATTTGGGGTGTAAAGGGAGAGTTTGAGTACGGCTCTTTAGAGTTTGTTACGTGTTTTTCCCTTGCTACTCGCAGCATCATTCCGGAGCTAACTTGACCATTTGTGTGGGTCTAGACACTAGGACGGGGTGGGCTGGGCAGGGCTGGGCAGGGCAAGGGGGCGAGGGAGGAGGGAGGGTGATGTAATGTGCCGCGCCGCTCAAGGCCTGATGTGAAAAGTATGTCATTCCAAAAGTCGGGTCCATTCGGGCGGTTGCCAGGTTGAAAATGTCGATCTAGGCCTTTAAATGATTAGAGGCACAAGCCCCTAGACCAGTATTTTATTGCTCTCAAATGGATAAAACTCTGTGGAATGTTTATGTCTGTGGAATGTCCCTAGGTAACTCTCCCGTATGTTACTCTTTTGGATGAAAGGATTAATACATTATTTGTAGGTGGGAATGTAAAATACAAAAAGAATTCAATTTATATTGAGTTTGGTTCCCCAAAAAATGGGGAAATAGTTGGTGGAAAAAGTGCCATTATTTTATGACTAGATTCTAACAAGTTTGTATGTTTGATTGCAGGAGCTGTCTCCGTAGAGCACGCGACGAGGCCGAATTCTCAAACCAGAGCATCTTTTCCTCCATGGAAAAGTTTGTGAATGCTGTTCAGGATATGGACGAGACTATATTGGTTCCATGCCGTCTTATGGATTTGAAAGTAGGAGATGCCACAGACTCCGTTCCATCTCCACCTGAGCCCAAGATCCAATTCAAGCCTGGCATGAAAGCTACACGTCGAGTTGAGGGCTTCAGAGACACCATGGCATCAGCTGACTTGTACAATCTGTACACTTTGGTGAACACAGTGAAGAATGAGCTTCAGTGGGGAATGAGGGAACACTGTCCTGTTGATGAAGGAATTGACAGCCCGACTATCACTCCAGTGTCTTCTACTACTCACATCAAAGGTCACCAAAGGAGACCTTCAAATGTTTCTGTGTCATCCACCAACTCCTCATCAATCAGTGACGCAGACTCTGACACTGGAAATGAAAATGACTCTGGATTTGATGGGGAGGCTTCTCCTAAACCAGAGTGTACCCAGCAGGTTGCCCAGAACTTCCGGCGGCACCTTCATGGACTTTATCGCTCTCTAGAACAAATGACAGAAGCAGCAACGTACCTAACTGCAAGATATCAGAAGGATGTCGGTGATGCTGTTTGACGAACAGTTTTCATCTCTTATCTTGATTGCCATTTGCATCAAGCCCTTGTGATATTCATAACTGTTATTGTCAGTTTTCAACCTGTCTTTATCTCATGTTTTATCATTTGTTGGCAATGTCGGTTTCTGGGAGCAGATTGAACAACCAGAAGGGAGGTGTTTAGAACAACAATTTAGGAAGTAAGTGCGTGTATGTGAGATCTGCATGTGTGAATTTTTAAGCATTTTTTACTTGTGAGCTTGCGATCTTTGTGCTTTTACCATGGTACTTGTTTTCATGTGCTCAAATACCTCTATGGCTTAAGTAATCATGTTGAAGTACTTAGTTACCTTCAAGGAATGTGGTTAGTATAAAAGCTGCCCTGCAGGTCGGAAGTGCAGCTTTTATTTGAGTTCCTGTTGAAGCTTTCTTCCATAATTAAATTGTTTCTATTCCATATTGCAAAGAGAAAAAAAAACAACACTTTTTCTAATTGTCATGAAGTTCCAATTTAGATACTGTTTTTACAATGAGTTTTGTCATGTACGTACTATAAGCATATTTTTGTAAGAGCTGCTCAATTTCTATGATTTGAGTGTCAGTATGTGTAGAAAAGAATATTTCATTGTTGGCACATAGTTACCATCCTTGAAAGTATGTCCGCACCTCAACAAAAATTTCTTCATGTTAACTTGGTCAATCGACTTCTGGCTGACTTTTGGTCTTTATTCTAGAGGAGTGTGTCATAGGCTTCCATTATGTACATCACCAACTGTTGACGTGAGATGGTCTCATGAATATTCTTGTATTCATGCTTGTATCAAAAATATTTATCCTGAGCTGCAGCTCTGCATGTTAAAGTTCTGTCTTTTTCAAATTAGAGACATGTCTTCTGGAGCTAAAAGTTGTGCAGTATTGTACATTTATTTTAGTAATTTATTAAGCAATTTTTATCTCCAGGACAGAGGGTTTTAATATTGA